TTTCATGAAATTTGCTAAACTTCTTTAAAGTTCTCATAATTTTCCTGAAGTTCGGTGATTTTCTTTTAAGTTCTCAGAACTTTCCTGAAGTTTTCTGATTTTCTCTGAAGTTCTCATAATTTTCGTGAAGTTTGTTGATCTTCTCTGAAGTTCTGAGAATTTTAGTAAAATTTTCTGATCTTCTCTTAAGGTCTCAAAATTTTCCTGAAGTTTGCTGATTTTCTCTGAAGATATCAGAATATTCCTGCAGGTTTCTGATCTGCACTGAAGTTCTCTGAAGTTCTCAGAATTTTCCTGAAGTTTCTTGATTTTCTTTGAAAATTCCTGGTCTTTTCTACAGTTCTCAGACAATTTCTGAAGTTCACTGATCTTCTCTGGAGTTCATAGATTTTTGAGAAATTTGTTAATCTTTCGTAAAGTTTTGAGAATTTTCCTGAAGTTTGCTGATTTTCTCTGAAGATCCCTGGTCTTCTCAAAAATTCTCAGGTAATTTCGGAAATTCGCAGATTTTCTCTGAAGTTCTCAGAATTTTCCTGAAGTTTGTTGATCTTCTCTAAAGTTCTTAGAATTTTCATGAAATTTGCTAAACTTCTCAAAAGTTCTCATAATTTTCCTGAAGTTCGCTGATTTTCTTTAAAGTTCTCAGAATTTTCCTAAAGTTTGCTGATATTCTCTGAAGATCCCTGGTCTTCTCGAAAAATTGCATATAATTTCGGAAATTAGCTGATTTTTTCTGAAGTTCCCAGAATTTTCCTGAAGTTCGGTGATTTTCTCTTAATTTCTCAGCATTTTCCTGAAGTTTGCTGATTTTCTCTGAAGATTTCTGGTCTTCTAAAAATTATCAGATAATTTCTGAAATGCACTGACTTTCTCTGAAGTTCTCAGAATTTTCCTGAAGTTTGTTAATCTTCTCTAAAGTTCTTAGAATTTTCATGAAATTTGCTTAACTTCTCTAAAGTTCTCATAATTTTCCTAAAGTTCGGTGATTTTCTCTGAAGTTATCAGAATATTTTGTTGATCTTCTCTGAAGTTCTTAGAATTTCCGTGAAATTAACTGTTCGTCTCTGAAAGTCACGGAATTTTAGTGGAGTTTGCTGATCTTCTCATAAGTTCGCAGAATTTTCCGTAAGCACAGTGATATTCTTTGATGTTATCATAATATTCCTGAGGTTGTCTGATCTTTTGTAAAGCTCTCAGAATTTTCCTGAAGTTTTCTAATTTTCTCTGAAGTGTTCAGAAAATTTCTGATATTCGCTGATTTTCTCTGAAGTTTGCTGATCTTCTGTAAAGATCTCAGAATTTTCATGAAGTTTGATGATCTTCTCAGATAAATTTTGACGTTTTCTGATCTTCTGTAAATTTCTGAGAATTTTCCTGAAAATTTCTGATCTTCTGTAAAGTTTCCAGAATGTTCATGAAGTTTTATGATCTTCTATAAATTTCTCAGAATTTTCCTGAAGTTTGTTGATATTCTCTGAAGTTCTCAGACAAATTTTGAAGTTTTCTGATCTTCTGAAAAATTCTCAGAATTTTTCTGAAGTTTGCTGATTGTCTCTGAACAGGAATCTTCTCAGGAAGTTCTGAGAAAATTTTCGAAGTTCGCAAATTTTCTCTGAAGTTATCAGAATGTTACTGAAGTTTGCTGATCTCCTCTGACGAACAACTTAAAGACATTTCTTATCCGCCCTGGTGTATTGTAGCTCAAGGTACAGTACTGGCAATAATAACATAATCACCGTGAAACTTGTCAGTATTTGTATCAAAATGACTGAAATATTGGCAACTGGTGAATCAAATATTCAAAGTTTATTGGTTATGCTTTATGCTTCATTGAATTTTATCAAATTGCTTTTAATTGAAGCACAAAGATCCAAGTAGGCTGTATTTTAAGAGAGGAGCGGACTGGCTTGTTTTGAGCCAAACGAACTGTCAAAGCCAGAGCCAATCGAGCAGCGCCTATCTTGATTGCATTGGCAATGTTGCTAGAAATCACCTAGACATAGGTTGCCAAGGCAGTTTGTTTTGAATCCGCTCTCCAAATCTCCATTGTTTTGAATCCGAATCTCCAAACTCATTCAAACAACTACCAACATTTATGGTCAACGGATAACATCAGCAAGATGACGACTTTCGGTTTTCAAAATACCTTCTCAAACACTATAATATGAGTATTTTTGTAACAGAGAAGATGGAACTGTTGACCGCGAAAGGCTCTAAATGCATATTTCCTGCTAAATTCCCATTCTGGACCATTGTGCAATAATACTTCATGCCCAAGGAAGTCGAGAAAATGTCCTGCCCAAGATTTCAATGACCGGACCAGGAATCGAACCCATGCTCCTAACGATAAAGGTCATGATTTCAAATTTCACCCCCGGAAAAGTCACGAACGACCTAAAATGTATTGAAGAGACTATAATAGAAGAAAAGATTCAGCGAAATTATTAAGATAATTCAGAGACTAGGAAAAATTTTCAAGATTTTGAGATGAGAATGTTAGAATGTAAACCTCAAACTCACAGGTTTTTTTTTCCTCTTCAATTTTGTTTTATGGTGATTCAGCTTCAAAAGAAGAGTGTTTTGTGACGAGTAACAAAAACTACAAGCGACAACCCTATGGGGTTGTATGCAATGGTGACGTAGGACTACGTGGTCTTATATAATAAATCTTATTTATTAACTGCAGCAGCAGCTTGTGTTTTGTGTAGGAATAGGAATTTGAGCGGGGTTTTCTCTGTTTATACTCTTTAGTATGACGCGCTTGACATAGATGGCCTACAGCGACTCACGAAGAGCTACTGATTCCGATCAATAGCGGTGCAGCTGCTTCCTCCTTCTATGAATGCCCAAGTGGGCTGCAGCTCTCTGCTATCAGGCAGCCTTTCGTTGTGTACTGGAGAACACCACCACTCACCACGCGGTGATTGAATAAACACCGTTTGGTGAGACCGGATGGAATTCAACTTTGAAATCTGTGTTAGGGAAATCGCTTTTCGCAGGCAATCGGTAATAATTTTAACTATCATAGCAACAGTTGCACATTGGTGTAAATTTCAAAAGTGACATTTTGAAAAATGATAAAGTCTTAAATTTCACAGATGCGTAGAAATATTTCTGATCCATTGGTTATAAAATTATTGAAATTGGCTCAGGGGCAGCTGAGTTATTAACGTTCAAAATCTTTCATGATTTTGTTACATGTTCCATTTTCGGTTTTCACAAAGTGTACCCCCATATAGAAATCACAGACGTAGCCCTACGTCAAAAAATTATGCTGAAGTTTGTTGATTAACTCACTAAAACTGATTTTATACCGCTCAAATGTCATTTGACAAAACAGAAACTCGTGAAATTTTATGTCTTTTTGATATTTTTTTATATATTGCTTAATATGCTCAAAAGCCATGAGCAGGCTCATTTAACTGAAACACTACAAACATTGAGAATCAAAACAAAGTTGCCCCTCTCTATTCCGAACCCTGGCGACGCCCTTGGGTGACAAATATTGAAACTACATTGTTGAACCTTAGAAAATTGATTTTCCAGCGTAGGAAGAAATTTCCAAGATTTCGTTGTCGTTCTCTGAAATTCTCTCGAACAGATTCGTCCCATGAATGCTCTACTAAGGCGCAACGTGCTTGAGTGAGTACGCCAACGAAGGCCCAACAATCGCAAATCTAAACTAATAATCGACTGCCAATCCATAAGGACAGGAGCTCTTATTATCCAATACTGTGTAGGTATTTATAAAAATCAATCCAAAATATCATTCATCCCGTAAAATATACACAAACCATTGCGTAGGTAATCCATGTCCACTCTATAATCGTCTGCTTTTCGGCATCCATTAAATAATAAAATAAGAGTACGATTGTTGAATTTGTTTCCCGATTCTTGCCTTACGCTTCCTGTTGCGACATAGACCTTTATCAACAACAAACATCTTATTCAAATCTCGCCACGTAGGTATTCCAATTCAATCATCTCCACTGCACTACTACTGTCATCAATCACTCAAAATTTACAAAATTCCAATCCGTACATATTACAAATATATATTCAACTTTTATAAAAAGTTTTCACCAGCAACATCAAACTTAGCTCGTAGCATAATCCAAGTGGTGCATTTCGTAATATTTAATAAAACTCTAAATTACACACACACACACATACAAGTCTACGTTACTACAATTAAGACGAACAACAAGAAATCAATTTGTAAAAAAATAATCCATCAAACAAGAACCAGACACGTTGCATTTTCTCTCTCGGAATTTTCCGATTTAAGTTTACACGTACGTAGGTTATGTTTAGAGTGTAAGAATCTCGAAAACAACAACAAACTATACACAAACTCTCAGCAGAGGTATAGGCTTCTTCCGAATGATTGCTAACAAGGTGATAACTCGAACAATGAAAGCTGCTTCCGAGCAAGACAAGAAAAGGCTCTTTTGTAAATAGTGACATATCAGTTTTCTTTTTTCAACATAACATTGATGGTTTCTCTTCCATCGCATTTTGGGAGATTCCCTTAATGCTAATAAACTGTAAGGTGATAAGAAGTTTGGAGCGTAGGATTTCCTTTCTTCTACTCATACAACAAACAACACACAACGGACAAGTAAGAAAAAACAACAACAACAAAATATGGTCTAGTCATTTGAAAGGCGAAGTATATTCGGTCAATTTAAGTAGAAATCAGTTCGTTTTTAACATAAGAAGGGATTATTTCCCCTACGCGATCGACGAAAGTAAGGCGAATTTTTGTTTTTCGTAATGTTTGATAAATTTCAGTATTTTAACGATAATCGAAATCAGAAAAGTTATTAGACTAGTTAAGAATCAATTTGCTGCTGCAGAAATGGTTACATCAAATGATAAGAATAAACGGAAACTGAATGCTTAAGCGGTGCTGTTAAGCGGTTATTGATCCGAACATGTCCCTTATTGTTAACATTGGGAGGGCTGTCATCGAAGAAAAACGCCCCAACGGAGTACTCTAGTAAAATTGTATTTGTTTCTACCCAGAGATGGATATCCTAAAGTGGAAAGTACAGTAATATTGGTACGGATATCATGCAAAAGTCTATCTAAAAAGGTTCATTACTTCTCTAACCTCGATTCACGAGTCTCACAATTTGGTAACGCCCTAATATTCGAGTATCACCAATGCGCATAGCTCGATTGACTGATCTACATTGAATTTAATTCCAGTTTGTCCTACCCTACTAGCCGATAAAATCTATCGAAAAAAAAAAGGATTACATTTACAATTTATAAAATGTCAGCCGTCTAAAATAATCCCCAAGACCCCGCCGCCTTCATCTTCCAAGGGGCAGTGTGTGACCTACCGTTAAACAAGGAAAACATCTGATCCAATCTGCCGCGCAGCGCAGCAGTGCGGACGTCTATTAGTCTCTCAATTAACCTACCCATTATTATTAGTTATATTATTGTAGTTATCATTTCGATAAAAAGAATCACAAGTGTTTTCCTCCCATTTTAGTTTTGCTTTCGCCCCTAGCAGAATTGGTTTGGCACTTACCCTGGCTTATTTTCTTACAAACTGCGCTCAGTACTGCTCGTCGCGATAGGTGCGGAAGAAGCGGACCACAATCTCCGGCAGGTTCGGGGCCCGGCAGATGTACCGGTGGCCGTAGTGGCTCGTTTTCTCGAACCGATGGAACTCGATTGGGCCCCACGATTTGCCGCGGGTGTCCAGGGCGGTGCGGTAGAGCTGCAAGTAGAGAAGGTTGTAAGTGGTTGGTTAGTAATCTTTTCTTCAATTAGAATAGTGGTGGATCGAAGTAGGTCGCGCTGAAAAAGTTACGTGTTTGAATTTTGCTCCCATAGAGAAGATTGGCTACATTTATCGTACGCACACTACGTCACGTATACTAATGTTTTCATCGGGAAAATAAAACTTCATAGCGGAAAATTTTCCCGATGAAAATAAATCACTGACATAATCATACTTTAGCAATCTCTATTAGCGAATTTGTTTTTGATTCAGTTCCAACCTGGATCGGGTATCAAGATTGGGTCTGCTTGTTGCCTTTCAAACGTCAGTGTTAACGTTTGTTTTTGTAACCTGGCTCGGGTTGAGGTTCGCATTGGCAATGAGCTCGGATTCGCACGGGTTGGAACTGGTTCCAACCTGGATAATAAACAAATTCGCTATATGTTTCTGTGATTTAAATTTCCAAATTCAGGACCAACAATTGAAAAGGCCTCAACCCCATTTTGTAAACCAACGTCGTGAACCGAAGTCCGCCAACGCAAACCAACAAAATGAACAGGTAGGGGAAATTCTCCTACACCCGATTGTGTTTTAGGTTTGCGAATGTAGGTTTCGGTTCGCGACAAAATGGCCTTACAAGGTTTGTTTACAAAATGGAGTTGAGGCCTTTTCAATTGTTGGTCTTGAAGGGTGAACTTTCTTGCGAATGTGTTTTTGCGTATTGGAATTTTTGGATCTGAGAGTAGATTAAAAGTGCAATTCATCGGAAACAGTTACAGCTGATCGGAAACGAGGTTCTGACAATGCTGAAATGACGGTGCGTTTTTTTCCGATGCACTTCTTCCCGAGGCCAGGAGAAATTATCAGGATCAAGGAGATGGAGCTTCATTTGGGAGAACAATTCAAGCTGAACATTGCATTAGGTCCTAAGTAACATTGATCGATTCTCTTCGTCGACTTTCTCTTTCGTTAATAACTTGAGCACATAACCGTTAACCCAACTCCGTAGCATCTATAGGGACAATCAGCAGATACATGCTAGTTGCCAGTATGCAATCTACGGATTACTCCGTTAAAAATGCAACGCAACGCAATCTTTTCTTCAATTAGAATAGCTCTGTTGTTTTACACAAGAGTACTGTACTCGTAGCTTGCCATCATTACATATTTTTTTTCATGGAACTCCCGGACATGATGAAGAACAATAATAAGATCACATTCCTACCTTGGAATCGATTCTGGCTGTTCTGGATTATGGTTCCATATGGTCAAATGTATTATCTACAATAAACAATTCAAATGACATATCAAATCACATCTACTCGACGAAATATGTCCAATGGCACTTTTCAATTTGATCTCCAGCTTTGCTCGGGTAGTGCAACTTCCAGCTGGAAAACCCTCTAAAATGAACTCTGGGTAAAATCCAGGACGATATTTAAACGATATTTCCGAGCGTAATCGAATAAAATGTCCGAGAAATCAGAAGAAAATTTGGTTGAATAATTCAAGGATAAAATTTAGCAAATTATAGCAAGAATTTTGAAAAGTCCGAAAACGTTTTGTAAAATGAATACCTAGATTTATTTCGAGAGAATCTTTAGAGTGTTCTGCTGACGAATCCTACACGCAAACCAAAAATCTATTACAATAAATGTTAGTTCCGTTTCCTATCATCCTCTGTTCATGAATATCACAACGAATGTTAGGAATTGACCATGCAAGCGATGTAATGGTTTTTTGTCTTTTTTATTTCGTGTTAGCGTGGATATTTCGACTATACCAGTAAGATTGTAGAACGACGCACGTTGTAGAACATTGTAGAACGACGCACACACTTGCCTCAAATGCCTCTAAGGGGCTGTCCATAAACTACGTAGTCAGTTTAGGGGGGGGGGGGGTTGACAATTATCCACGGCCCATACAAATTTTAAATTTTTTGCATGGACAATTGTCTACGCAGGGGGAGGGGGGGTCAAGAATCCCAAAAAACTGGCTACGTAGTTTGTGAACAGGCCCCATTACAATGAATGTTAGTTCCGTAATGGTTTTTGTCTTTTTCATTTCGTGTTCTATCTACGCTTTCGACTATACCAGTAAGCTTGTAGAACGACGCACATTGTAGAACCACAAACGAAGTGACAGACGGAGCGGCTCGAAAACTTTGGTGACTAACCTGCTATTGCAATTTTTCAGTGTACCACATGGCAACACCACTACTACTGGATTGTACCACATGGCAACACTACTACTAGATTGAACTAGCATTTTCACCAAATGTACTAGAATGTTTTGGTTCTATCTCTTTCACTCTACTCAAAACTGAAATGCATAAAAAAATGACAAAATGATACGCACTGTTTGCACACTGTCAAAGAATCATTGTACACAAAATCAACTTTGTTCAAATCAAAACAAAAAACTAACCCATCTGGTGGATGATGGCACAAGCTTCCAAGAAAATTCTATTACACCTGACAAGAGCAAAATGTTCTATGTAACATTTTTCACGTTTTCATAGAAAAAAATGTATGAAACGGGTAGATTATAATTTCAATTTCAATTTTACTATCGCATTTTACTATTAAAGGTCTTAAAAATGTCAAAAGTTGATTTGGTTTAAAATAGTATCAAAAAAGATTTTGTCAATCTTCAACCTCGTTTTTCTCGAAAAGAGTGAAATGTTAGATAGGACCTTTTGAAAAGTTAGGCGAGAATTCATCTAGAAAATTTTGAAATTCTTGAAAACAAAAGTCCATCATCATTCAAGACATCATCTAAAGAATGATGCCACAAAAAATTGCCTGTAGTTCAATTTTTAACCATATTTCGTGAAATTTCTCGTTCAGGTATACAGTTTACGGGAAAATACAGTCTATGAAAAAGCATGAAATAGTTGAACTAAATAGAAAATGCTGATGATGGTACAGCACGCAACAACTACCCTACTGCTTTCTCTCTGAGATGACCACGTTGGTCATGACGAGAGGAGCAACACAGTACTCGATGAACAATTCAAAAAGTCTTATCTGCTTTGATCGGTTCTCTTCATCGACTTTCTCTTTTGATAACCACTGCTATGCAAACAGGTTTTGCGCTCTTTTTACCACATGGTTTGATAAAGGATGATCTTATCTTGCCTCCAATAAGTCAAATACAACAGGAAAAGGTTTTACAGCTGAGTCATTAACGAAAGAGAAAGTCGATGAAGAGAATCGATAAATGCAGATAGGACATTTTGAAATGTTTATCTAATGGTTTGGTAAAGAAGAATTCTCGATGAACATTTCAAATGGTCCTATCTGCTTTGATCGATTCTCTTCATCGACTTTCTCTGTTCATAACCAGTGCTATGCAAACAAATTTCGCGCTAATTCTATCACATAGTTTGATAAAGGAGGTTCTTATCTAGCGTCCAAAACGTCAAATACAACAGGGAAAGGTTTAGCAGCTGAGTTATTGACGAAAGAGAAAGTCGATGAAGAGAATCGATCAATGCAGATAGGACCTTTTGAAATGTTTATCTAGAATTGCATTATAACAAACCATCGACTGGAAAATGCTCTCGCAACGTGGGGCTTTAGGTAGTGATGAAACGTCGCTAGAACTATTCCACAGCCGCAGTCAGTAATGAGCAAGGGCGGACGCACATCTTTTTGCCTGTAGATTTGAAGACATACCTCAAATCTCCGCGTACATCGTACGCGTTAGGTAAAAAGGTGTGCGTTTGACTTTGTACTGTCGCATTAATCGCTCATTTTCAACTTCTATTCAATTTTCATACTGCCGTACTCTAACGTAACTATCCACCTACACTCTTCTAAAGATCATTCTCTAGCTAATAAATTATCACACTAAAGCTTCATGTTAGCATTTCCAACCAACTCAGAAAATATACGTTTGAAAATTATGAACGGCAATCAAAATCCGATTAGTATGGTAAATAGTGTAGGAATACGAAAAAGATCAGTCTAAACTTATAAAATACTGTTTAATAATTTAAATACCTATAAATCATTATATAGATTATGATCGCTTGGATCAAACGTGTTACAATTTTTAATAAATTGTAATACTCCTGGGCTTCTCCTTACAATCCAATAAAAAAAAATCTCTCCTCCGATTCACTAAGTTCTTTTGATCATTATACCCTTGGAATATATTCCAACGAATTCAACTGAAGTTCTCCTCGTACAACCTATTGAATTCTCTCCATAATCACCTTGAAATTCTCCAATGGAATTAAAAAAAAAATACTCTCCAGAATTCCCGTAACCTATAGCTCATACCGTAGTAGGCTGTGTATAAAAGAAAATGATTTACTTAGTTTGACAGTTACACCATGACGGTGTGGCAGCGTATTCGTGATTTGTTCCAAGCGCAAATGTCGCAAAAAGACATTTCAACCGCCGTGGGAGAAAGGACAACTATCAGCGAACGTGGCCACAGGTCGTCCTAGGTCAGCTCAGGTTCCGAGGGTTATCGTTGCTATCAAAAGGAAGATTCCGGTGAATCCAGTGCGTTCATAAAGAAAATGGCAAAGGAACACGGGATCAGTGACTTTACGGAACTTCTTGGGGCTCCGAGCCACACCTCGAACCGCACTCAGAAGTGGTTGCAGGAACATCTTCTGTTCTGGGCGAAGGATATGTGGCCGCCATCCAGCCCCGATCTTAATCCGCTGGATTACTCAATATGGCGCGTCATGAAGGCCAAGGCCTGTTCTAAACGCCACCCGAGTACAGCAAGCCTCATTATTAGAACCTGCCGTGCATTCCGGAAGCGTGTGAAGGTCGTAATTGCAGCAAGTGGAAACTCGATCGATGATTAACATAGTTTAAGAATCTGAGAAACATCCCCCGTTTGAATAAATAAAAAAAAACTCGAAAAGAAATTTTTGAGATTTTTTTTTAAATTTTGACATTGCTCAATGGTGCAAACATTATCACGCATAGGGTACAGTGTATCTCAAAATTGAGCGTACAGAGGTCCTTAAATTAAAGAAAAACTGCTTTAAAAGCATAATCTAAAGAGATACGTTTCTGAATTTCTGGCTGCTGAATCATCATAAATTTATCAACACAGTGTTGGGCTTATCTGGTTGCGTTGATCAAAAGTAAGAGCTTATTGAGAAAAACGCCTTTTCCTTGAAAAATCATAATATCTTGAAATGTAATGAACTAAACTTTTTTTTTGAAATTTTGACCATTTTTAGTCATAATAAAGATCATTTATATCCCACTGATTTTACTAAAATTCGTCCACTAAATAAAAAGTTGAAAATTGAGCGTTTTACTAAAATAAATCTAACTTAATACAGGTTCTTCCAATAAAGTCCAAAACTAAAGCGATAAATCAATAAACACCTGCCTAACCACCAGCCAAGATTTAAAAATATATATTTATTCACAATGTTTCACTAGGGTGTATTCAAAATGTTCCACTAGGGTGTACGCTCAGTTTTGCGATACACTGTATATACAGACCATGCAAATATTGGATGTAAGATCTTTCAAAGGGGGGGTTGTTGAAAAGCCCAAAACATGCTTACATAGTTGACTCCAATGAATTTGGAATTACACCAAATTATGTAGTTAATGTCGTAGAGCAGTCCCGTAGCCTTGTCGTCTTTGTCGGATACCGTTTTCGCCACCCCCTCACTACGTTCCTGCGTACAGGAACTTACGTGGTCACACGCTTCATTAATGATGTATAAAATTGAAATAAGAATAATCGTAAGGAAAGATTGTGAAAATTTTTCCGATTCCTAACCTATACTGCCTATAATCGCATATCAGTCCCATATGGATTTACGTTAACAACGTTTTCCACTGTCAATTGGCATCTACTTTCATATTACGTGATAAAACTACGGACTTTGATCATGAAAAATGTGAAAACAACATCAAGTCAGTTTGTCCCATCAAGCAAAGTAATCGCATATCAGTCCCATCCTGAAATTCAATCGTCCAGTTACAGTTCTGCTTTTTGTGTTGCCATATTTTTCGCTGGTAGGTATAACAAACCATGGTAGGGGAAATGTTGGCTTCGGCAATACCTTAACCTATTATCGTCAGGGGGTAAACAACGTCCTTGAGAGCTCAATTTGGGTCATGTTGATACATTGTGTTTCAGAGCATCTATTGGCCAAATGTGAGTGCTCTAGGACTTTGTTTGCCCCCATGACGATAATAGGTTAAGGTATAGCCGAGGTCAACATTTCCCCTAACTGATTTTATCTTGAAAAAAAATATGAATAAATTTACTATGATTTTTCATATATTTACATGGGAATTGCACTTCGTTACTTCAACTGTCAATTTCTCAATGCCTACTTATTCCATATGGGATTGATATGGGATTATAGGCAGTTGACCACTTTGTCAAGCAGTTTTGGCGTGATTTTCCACCAGCGATTTCACAAAACTGGACCAACTAATTTCTATTTTTTTTTTATGAAACGTATAAATGACTTTTCGCGTGAAGAAAAAAATCTCAAAATTATGTTTTATTTCAGTGGTAGTGGTAGTAAACGTCATTTTTTAACTGCTCGAATGAAGTGGTTAGTTGTGGCATCTGCGTAACAGACGCCATCGAATTCTGTTCATTTCCAGCAGATCGCATTTGCTGCGCCACTGCTGAGTCAAGATTCCCTAACTGTCGTCAGTCATCGACCACCCTACAATACGTGTCGAGGTACATACTGCATAATCAATTTCCGAGGAAAGGATCTAATTACTAATGCCAATGCACTACGCCTGTTTCCAAGCGGCGTTATCACCATGCGACATGTAACGTGGGAAAGCCGCAGCGTGGTTTCTCTCTTGATCATATCTGTCCCTCTCTTGCTCGATCTATGTATCGATCGCTGATTGACTAGCAAATACATAATGACTTCAAATACCTCCAGTTTAGGCTAAGTTAAATTTGAATAATAAAATCAATCTTGTATGAACCATCAACAAGTGAAGTTGAGTCTTTCAATGAGAAACACAAGTGACTACTTCGCACAGTATACTACCTATAATCCCATATCAGTCACGTATGGAAAAAGGAGGCATAGAACAACTAACAGTTGAAGTTAAGAAGTTCGATTTCCATATAAATATTTAAAAATCAGTTACCATGAGGCTTGCATGTTTTGGTCTATCAGCGAAAAATATGGCGATTCAAAGAGTAGCACTGTAACTTGACTTCTGGACGATTGAATTTCAGGATGGGATTACTTTGCTTGATGGGACTCACTGACTTGATGTTGTTTTCATATTGTTCATGATCAACGTCTGTAGTTTTGTCACGTAATATGAAAGTAAATGTCAATTGATTGTGGATAGCGTTATTATCTTAACATTGACGAAAATCCATATGGGACTGATATGCGATTAAAGGGAGTCTATTTTCCTGATGATTTATAACGATTGTTGATTCCAAACGTAAAAAAATGTATGCAAGTTAGGTGACAGTCGCATCCCCTCCTTTGATTCACATCGAGTTCTCATTCATAGTGATATGACTTACCTTATAACCTAAGCTGAACGGAACCACATGATCATCCTCGGCGTGTAACATCAGCACCGGTTGTCTGAATTCAGCAATGTGTTGATCTGACTCGAATCGCAGTTCGTTGGCGTACATGGGACGGGAAATTGTGTAGTCGAACCACGGGAGGTGCCGATATAACTAAAATGATTCAGTGTTATTAACGTTTGTGATCTCGCACAGACATCATACCTTAGAAAATGGATGCGCGCAAATCTCCTCCCGAATATTGTTGAACGGACTCTCCAGCACGACAGCCCTCGGTCCGGGCAAGCTCATATCGGTCAGTAGCGACAGCAAATGCGTGGCCACTCCGGTCCCCAGCGAGTGGCCCCACAGGTAGACCGGGTTCTTACTAATACTAGTGATATACTGATAAACGGCCAGCGCATCGTACACGACTCCCCGCTCCGTGGGTGAAATGTCGGCCGAATCGCCGTAGCCCCGGTAGTCCAATGCCACCACGTGGTAGTTGAGACTGCGGAGCAGTTTGTACAATTCCACTCGATGGGAAGCACCCCGCGATGCGGTGTTCCCGTGCAGGTACAGCACAATGTCATTGGTGGTGGCCCGGAGGGTCTCTTCGAACAGTTCCTTCTGGGTGGCTTCATCCGCCAGGTTCAGGTTCGAGCGGTGAAGAATTCGCTCCAAATTACCATACTTGGATGAGTCATTTTCGGCAAGCTTGTCCACTTTGTCGCGCACGTCCTCCGGGGCCGTCATGTTGGATAGAGTGGCCTGCAAACCGGAGGAAAGAGATGAATGATCGTTAACACGATTTACAAGCAAAATGCGAGATGAAGCATGAATCCTATTTATAGCGCACGCGACTCGTTTTGCCCTAATTTTCTTATGAAGAATTTCGCTTTCGAACAAGATTTGCGTTGTTTTGTGCATATGTTGCTCTATTTACGCTCTGCCTTTTCGCAACCGACGACGCACATGCTCTTTGGTATGTACATATAGGAAAATGTGCTAAGTACACTTGAACTGACATTTGCTTTTACAATGTAATCAAGTTCAATTGACTCAATTAGCTTCGAGAGGAGTAATTCCTTCTTATCAGCTCAAGTTACCTCATCAATTTGCAGTTCCTTCCCGAACCGTCGGACGAGATCATTAGGAAGCACGTGCCACACCGCGACGTCGACATCGATATCCTCCTCCTGGTCCCGATAGGTGACGTAGAGATTCCGCGTAGCACACAGCCCACTCTTCTCCGGTTTCTTGAGATCTAGGTTTGGTGGGTAGGTTACTGAAAAAAAAGAAACCGACTAAATTTTAGTTCTATTCAAACTCACCCAAATACCCACACTTACTGAACGTGAGAAACAGAATGCTTTTCTGCAGGGCAAAGGAAAACTTGAATATCAACGGCAGCACGATGAAGATAATCACAAACACCAGGATGCTGATTTTGCACGTCGTCAAACAGATTCTGCAACGAGAAAGAAAAACACACCTCACTGATTACATAAGTTCACACGCAGCGGAATAATTGCTCGAGATTGGGAAGATTTCTAGAGGAGAAACGGACTTTTTTCGCATCGCAAAATAGGGCATCCTGACTGGCTGGTCCAAACCAGTTCGTAAGCGCTATAAGTCACCGCCGTCGTTCGAAAGATATCGGTGCCTCTCAGTTGATGCAGCGTGCTTGAACTTGACCTTGAATACCTCAGACGGTGGTTGGTGGACGTTAAGTAAGTAAGTTATGATAGTATGGTGTTCAATAGTTGATGGGCCACAGTTAAGCTCGGTGTAAATCGGGATTACAGCGCACTTGCAGATTGCCGTTGGCAGTAAACTCTTTCGCGCGGACGACTTAGCCGGTCTGAGAGTCGATCGGTTCTCAGTCTCAGTCGTAGCGGCGGTCTACACCGTCTGTCCATCGCTGTTGCAGCAAAGTGCAAATATAGATTAGTTTATTTTCATTTCACGACTAGACTGGGCGTGTAGCGGCGGGCAGACGGGGCGGATGAGCCGCCGTCTTCATAAAACCTTGCACTTGAGAAACGTTGCCGAGCGGTTTATGGGAAAATATTTTTGCAAACATTTCGCTTCTCTGGGGGAAGCTACTGTAAACAAACGGTAGAATGCGTGGTGTGTTTAAATTATGTGTCACTGGAAATGAGCTGCCAGAAATGTAAAGGAATGAGAATTGCACAAGCTGCAGAAACATTGGAAGGCATAAATTATCCTATGAGAAGTTAAATGAAAATTTGCGTTGAATTTGTATGGACTCTCGGTTGACACGGTTGAATTTGTATGGACTCTCTTAAAAAATATAAAATTCCGAAGGGGCAAAACAAATTCGGCCATATTTAAAATTATTATTCATTCTGCGCTTTTTTCCTAAAACTATTTTTTTTATATTAATTTATTACGTATTAATTCATAACCTAAAAAATCAATTTCCCTTGTTATTTATATTTTTGCCACCATACCCCGACCCTCCACTCGACCTATTCAAGAACGATTCATGGAACTATGTGGAGCAGGTTTGGACAGCCATCAATCTGGGTGATCGCACACTATTTCTATTCGCTCTGATCGAGTCCGGGACAATGAACTCATCGATACTCACTGTCAGGCGTTTCGTGGAGTCCATCTCATAGCGGATTCATGTATCCAGATCCTGATAGTTCTACATTTCCCGCAGGAGCTATTAGCCTTCTCGACAACTACAGTGCAACAACGCTCACAGGACAGGGCTCCATCAATTTCCTCGGCTCCTTGTGCACTAGCTAAGCTAGTTCCACATCACCCTCCTCTAATTGTCACTGTTGAGGACAAACTCGTGAATGATTTCGAAGAGCGTCATAGATGGCATGAGAACATCCTTGATCCAGATAACGTTGAAGCAGCAGCGCAAACCTTTTCACATGTCTTGGCATATGCCATTGACAGACACGTCCCGAAAAGAACTCACCAAAAAGTGTCTCACCCTCCCTGGCAGGCGAGAGAGCTAGCTAGGTTGAAGTCAATCAAGAGAGCAGCATTGAGAAGATTTCCGAAGTATCTAACGCTTCCTCTGAAATTACATTATGTGAATCTGAATCACATGTACTAGCGAGTCAGTCGTGAATGCTTTTCAAGTTTCCAACGAGGCATCCAGCGCAAACTTAAGCTAAACCCGAAATCCGTTTTGGAACTACGTGAACCAGCAACGCAGGGAATCTGGCCTCCCATCGTCTATGGAATTCAACGGAGAAGTTGCTGCCACCGTTCAGGATATATGCCGCCTTTTTTCCAACAGGTTTGCACTAATGAGATACTAACTGACGACCATATTAACCTGGCTGCCAGGAACGTTCCAGTAAATGATCAAACACTGGGTGCAATTGATGTTAATACTGAGATGATTTCCAAGGTCGCGACTCTGCTCAAGTCATCCTTAAATCCTGTGGACCTGATGAAGTTCCATCCAAGGGGCAAGACAGCTGTACTCAGAATAAATATATTTGCTGCGAGTAGGTTTGAGTTGCTCATATTTACTCAAAAATGAACAAAGTAGTCTCGTATTTTTCATCATAAGAAGTTCTGGAAACAACCACCGTATGACAGAATGTTTTGTTTAAATATTTTCAATTAAGAGAAAATTTAGCATTTGGCGTTACATTATCAACTTTAATATAGCATGATGTTCATGAAACGGCAATATTAAGTTTTCATTTTTAAAAGATCCAAGGTAAATTGATTTTGTCCAGGCCTCTTTTGCTTTCTAGGGATTGATGATCTTCGAAGATTTTCGTAATGTGGTGGTGTGATTTCAAGTCCAAATAAGTTGGGATTTGACTAGAAATACTCATAGGGAGAGATGGGCGGAGAAAACAAAATACAATTCGGCAGCAGTGATTTGTACCTAAATTATCTTACACCCCTTGTTAGAAGCTAGCATTTCAAATGACTTTCACTTTCGATTCGATTGACGTGCAAAATAATAATTGAGTGCATCTTGAGTGCATCGCAATATATTGCACATTTCTTGGTGCCATTAATTAACCAACTAAGATCAATTAATCAATAGAGTTAGAATATTGTTTTTGATCCCAAAAACTAGTTGAATTTGAGAAGCACACGAAACATAAAAGTGATTGAATTTCTGTTCGATTGCAATACTCTCAAATTTAATGTAGTAAGAATAAGATATGTTCGGAAAAATTCTAATGGGAATGTTCGTTTGGTTCAGATTTTGACAGTTCATTTGGCTCAAAATATTCTCTCCGCCCATCTCTCCCTCTGAGTATTTCTAGATTTAACCTAATATTATTTAAGCTCATGAAAATTAATACTAAACCTCTCAAAATCGATTTAAGAGGCTTCTTGTTCTGTGGAATTAGTTTCTGGCATAAGGAAACTCAACATTACTTATTATCTATAATTGAGGTGTACAGTGATCAGCAAAATTAAATTTACAAGCTTCCATAATGGAAGATCGATATAAATCTCCGGAAAAAAATTCTATAGAAAAAGTCAGACTAGTGGTAAACTGTCACTATAAACTTCCGTTGTTTTCCCTGATACTCTTAGAAAAAGACATCCACATTTAGCACAAATGGAACATTGATGAATGCGGTTTTTATGTAGCTGTTCATCCTAAGTCACAATAGGTTAGTTTTGGCTAACTTCATAGTTGATTCCATTCCGACACTTATAGCGAAACCGAACTTTTTGTCAGTGTGAACCTCAACCTGAGCTGGGTTTTGAAAACAAACGATCAAACTGACGTTTGTCAGAAAACAAGCAGACCCAATCTTGACACCCGATCCAGGTTGGAACTGAATAATAAACGAATTCGCTATTACATGAGTGATCGTCGAAGGAATTGGAGGAATTCCATCATCTCTTTTTTGTCATGCTACTTAGAATTGTTCAGAATCTTCCATTTGGGATGACTGTAGTCCCCCCTGAGATTTTCTGGAATCTCCCTGGAATTGTAGGGATTCCTTTCTGGGATTATTTGGAATCCTCTCTGGACTGTCATTAATGCCCCTCAAATTAACTGAAATCGTCCTTTTGACTGTCCATAATCCCTGTTGGGTTTGCCCGAAGTCCCCTCTGATGTTGTCCGGAAGCCATACTGAGAGTGTATGAAATCTTTTCTGATAATTGTCTGGAATCACCCCTAAGCTAGTTCAGAGTCCCTCCGTCATAAATTCCCTTTTCGATTGACTGGAATCCTTCCAGAGATTGTCCGAAGTCTTCTAGGGATTGTCCAGAATCCCTTTAGGAGTGTCCTGAATCCTTCTTGTGATTGTCCATCAGAATCCGTATTATGTGGTTGCTAATGTTTCGCAGCGTGCTATATGAAAGTGCAGTTGCCGTATTACAAATTTACAAATGCAATTACCCCCCTTTGAAATGTTGTCACTGAATTATCTTTGCTTGACAGCATCGGTTTCAACCAAACAATCAGGTTGCTATGTGTAAGAGCAACCGTAACGGTCGTTGTCATTTTAGTCACTCTTCTCCACACCGGTCGCTGCTATCGCGGTTATCAATTTTTTTTTCCTCTGGTTTGTTTTCCGTCGATCTTGTTTTCCGTGCTGAGCACCAATGCTACCGACGCCAGGAAGGCAGCTCCCACACCTGGACCCTACCTATCGACCCATCAACTCATGAACCGGGGACCAACGGCTTTACTTCCCTTCCGAAGGAAGGCGTGATCAGAGATGTTATGCCTCAGAACATCCCGGCGGCACCGCTCGGTTATCAATTTACTTACCGTAGTCCATACCGGTAGTGAGCATTTTGACATTTCTACGAATAGCAACCTTTCTCCCGCGCTGCTATCGGGCTGCTAAATTTGGTAACGCGCTTCTCACCGAGAAGCCGACTGCTATTTTAGTTACTCGTATGGCTGCGCTATGATGAGGGCTGCTAAAATGAGTTTAGCAGCGTACCGTTACGGTTGCTATAAATGTTGTTGAACAATGCAAGTTACTCACAGTTACTCAAAATTAACTCCGATTGTACTCATGATCGAAAGCTGTCTTGCCCCAAGGTTCCATCTGTATTTTCGAAGAGGCATATTGCTAGCTTGTTAATTCCGTTTCAAGGAAACGAGCTGTGGATAACTATCGAGGAATTACATCGTTAAGTGGTGCCGTTTCGAAGCTATTCGAGCTAGTGATTATGGATCCGTTGCTGTCCCATTGCAAGCAGTATTTGAGTGCTGATCAACATGGGTTTACTGTCGGCCGCTCTACAACCACTAATCTGCTGTGTCTCACATCGTATATAACCGAAGGCATGTCGGATCGGATCAAACGGACGTTATTTATTCAGATTTATCCGTAGCATTCGACAAGTTGAACCATGCTATTGCGATTGCTAAACCCGGCAGGCTCGGTGTATGCGGTAATCTTCTGAGTTGGGTTCGGTCATATCTTACCGGTTGCCAATTAACAATTGCCACAGGAGATTGCAGATCAGCTA